ACGTATCAAACTGGCATTCCAACCTTTCCATATAGCATTAAGAATGCATCCAAAGTATCTACGAGTTTCTCTAATGAGATCTGAACGTCTCACTAGTGAAGGTTGCACTAAAAAACAATCTGAATTAATAACATGTCTATCTTGTAATGATTGTCGAAAATCGTGGTCAACATGCTGACTTTGAAATTCTTGTGCTGAACCGTTTAGTTATAGGCACTCAACGCAATACCCTATCGTTGAACCAGAGCAGTGGAGAAACATGATAAGGATTTTTCAGGATGATAGATAAACTTTGAAGCTTCATAATCAGCAACAATGGTGAATGTCTTTCAAAATAAATATTTATGAAGTCTTCTAGCAGTTTGTGAATAACCTTGTTCACTAACAATACGTCTGCATAAAACACACAAAAGTGGTTCAAGTTCGTGCTCCTAAACTGCGCATTAAATCGACTCTCAAGGAATTAAACCATTTCAAAAAAAGTCGAAGCTATTATCAGTTACGCCGACTCAACTTCTGTAAAATCATTACGTCGTTTCTTCGGAACGTGCAATTTCTACCGACGATTTCTACCATTTCTCTAATGCATCTATTATTTGTGACATTTCAACGGGCAGCAATTACCCCTTCTTCCCTCAAGCCTGCCGACGTCAAGTATTTCCACAACTGCACGAGCTTTCACATCCAGTAATCAGAGCCACCACTAAATTGATTACTGAACGTTTCGTGTGGCCAAAGATTAACTCAGACATAAAACGATGAACCCGAAACTGCATACAATGTCAACGCAGCAAAATTCGGAAACACACAATCAGTCCCGTTGGGAAGTTCCGTCTGCAAAAGAAATGCTTCCAGCACACCCATCTAGACATAGTCAGTTCACTGCCACCATCAAATTCATTCACGCATATCTTCACCGCAGTGGACCGGTTCACAAGATGGGCTATAGCATGTCCTATTACCGACACCTCTGCAAAGACAGTAGCCGCCGCATTCCTCGACCGCTAGATATCAAACTAAGGAGCACCATCCATCGTCACTACAGACCGTGGTCCCCAGTTTCAGTCTATCCTATTTCAGGAATTCAAAAAACTTCTGGGTATGAACCACAGCCTATCATCCAGCAGCTAATGGTCTGGTCGAAAGGTTTAACCGACAACTAAAAACCGCGCTGATGGCACAGAATGATACATCAAAGTGGAGTGACGCATTACCACTCGTAGTCTTACGGATCCGTCAAACCATAAAGATATGGGTTGCACAGCCGCTGAACTAATTTACGGCACAACTCTTACGTTACCAGGCCAATCAGTAAACTCAGACACATCAGTACCAACTGATCCAAGTCGTTTTGCTAGTAAACTACTACAAACAATGTAAATAATCAAAGCGATACCGCCGCGAGAACATAATAATCGTATACAACTCGACAAAAACCTAGAAACATGCAAATTTGTCTTCGTTCGAGTTGACGCTGTTAAAGAGCCACTAAAACAACCTGACGACGGACCATATCAAGTAATCAAAAGAACAAGTAAACACTTTATAATCAACAAGTGCGGAAAGGAGACTATCGCTATTGATAGAATAAAGCCAGCCTTCTACGAAGTGCAACAAGGCAAAGAAGATAGCACTGCAATTAATCAACCCCTCCCACTAACCACTACTAGAGAAGAGGAGGATGAAAAACCGAGTACCAAACTGACTTGCTTAACAAGTTCAAGTAGGACTGTAAAGAAACCCAAACGTTATGTACATTTTGCCGAATAAAAAAAATCAAAACAAACAATTATCGATGTATTACAGGTAAACACATCCAATGTCCCAATGAAATCTACTTTTTCTAAAAACGTGTGTATAATTAATTACATTTTTCCAAAATTACTCGTTTTGTCACATTAAAAAAAACTTTTGTCACAATAATAAACGAGTGAATTCTATTTAATTATTAATTGCACCAAAAATAATAATAAACAATTCACTTTTCATATGGGTTTATTAAAAGTTTTGTACATTATTGTTATAAGTAGCAAACCAAAGCTTCGAATGATTGTATTTTCATTCTCTTTTGCGATTGTTGTGCTACTCTACATCAACACATTATATATTACTAATGTGCATATCATGCCTATCTCCACCTTTTCTTTTTGGTTATTACAGTAAATATATTTTTTCATACATGTATATACCGTATTCTTACAATTTTTTGTGGTTGTTGTTGTTATTATAACCAGTGTTACCTCCGAACGCTCTGGGGGGAGCTATGTGGACATAGGCCTGATAAGCTTATTTTGTAAATAGTTTTTGATGTTATTTGTATTTATCCTGTCAGTTTCTCATTGCATGTACATTTTTCATCAAATGATTGTACGTGTTGTTTAAGTGTATGACCTTGGACACATTTTCTTCCGTCGTGTGACATTCATAGCATAACACACTCTGTTAACTGCTAAAAAATACACTGCTATACACATACCTCTCGTCCTCCATTCGCTCGTGATTGTGTTAACTGAACTCTACATCAAATACTGTCTACATTTATAGACTATAATCGGGATATATCATATTCTACATTTGGCTATACCACTGGGAAGACATCAACCTTACTGGAATCTTCAATCAACTATAATTGTGGTACCAGACTCAGTCAGAACACGCACAAACCTGCTGAATTAAGTAACGCCAAAGCAATCCCTGGTACAGTTGGTTATAATAATTGTTTCAATTATACCAATTAGGTTCTCTTGATAAAAGTAGGTCACTACAGGCACATGAAGTTAATCACCAAAATTGCGTTCGGTAGCTTGTCTTTGCAATTCAAAGATGAATTCCCTAAACTTCTGGTTATTCGGACGAATCATCTTACGGAATTTCGCTCTCCCACGACATTCGAAGCTGGTGCACTTTACCTGATTTAATAGTAATTCCTAAGAGTTGCATAAGGAAGTGAGATAGTCTTTTCTGGATATGTCAAAGTTTTTAATAAATCATAGGCTTCTTTTCCGATGAATGTAAGGAAATGTGCCACAATTTTATCACCCTTTGCATCTTTCTTGGTCATGCTCCAGATGCCAAACCTCTCCAAATAATCTTCAAAAGTTGAGTGGATGTCCAATTGGTCCATCACAGGCACCATTGCGACGCCAATGTGATAATTCAGAGTATTTGAATTATAGTACAAACTAGGAACACCAGAAATAACTCAATTTAACCAAGAACTATATGAACATGGACGAACGTACTGTATTTGGAATTCTAAACCAAGCATTCGTCAAGTACAAAGGAATCATTAGTTCATACAAACACCACATCTTACCTCACTGTTACCGGGTTTAACAGAAACCTATTATTGCAATTATTATCATCCTAAAAAATGAGTATATATATCTGCGACGAAGGGGGGACTCTTCGCCCAATTAATATTTATTTTGTCTCGATGTATATATTCCTTTTGCTTCGTTTTTTCTGTCCATTCCACTTTCGTTTCACACCACTGCGCGTGGTCATTGTGTAGGCCTTTTTTCAGTCTACTTTCAAGTCGCCTGCACTACTCATGGTGTTTTAAGTCTGATGAGTTTACGAGCATCTGTCAGTTCAGTAGGTGTAAGGAAATCAACTGATGCTTTCTAGCCTTTTGGTTTAAGTTACTAACAGTTGTCACGACTGTTTTGGATGTCATACAAAACCACTTTAAAGTTGATATTACATTCATGGTTGACCAAGTGCTTCTCTAGTTGTTTCTGAAATGGTATCCCGAATTTTTTATCATCAGGCTAAAGTGTAAAGGATAATCTTAATGTTGCACTTTTGCTGATGCAGAAGAACATGTACTGACACCAGAGCATGATTGCAGTCTAAGCACATTCTCTAAAAATGGGAGACAGTCTTGTGATGAGTCCCTTTAACCTCAACGAAACACAAGACTTTCATCATTAGGCTGAGGATTATTGATTCCACGATACACACAACACTGTCCACACGCGCCAAAATGACAGAAATCACTTCGCATGGTGCCTTCCCAAAGATGATTGATAGCAGTGTAGTCTCATGAATCTTTTTGTGAACCGATTGTGACAGTCAACATGTCTTCCTTACAGTTGATGCTCACTAGAAATAAACGTTAATTTCAGAACAGTCGAAGTCTTTATAAACTGTTCCATGAGCCTCTAAACTGTAAGTCTCAATCAATTTTCTTTCACCGTGGTTTGAACTTGTGATGGCATTGGACCCTAGTCACACGACATTTGAAGCCGAGAATATAATTACGGAAGACATATTCAACAATTGACACGAAGAGAAGGCTAACTATGTAAAGCGGGAGAATTAACTCAATCCTTCGGATGGCATGGCTCAGCGTTGCAGTCGTGGTCATTCCTGTGTAACTTATCTCTTTTATTCATAACAAACTCGGTTAGCTAAATATGGTAGAGCATGATGACGAAGTTAAATGAGAATTGCTAGTCGTGGAGACAGGAGTAATATTACGAAGGATTCCATCTTGAACAAGATGACCTTGGGTGGCCCTATAGGTATGATAGTGATTGAGAATCCACATCTGTCCCCATCAGTGAAAATTACGTCTTTACGGACCTGAAGAAACTACACTAGATGTTGGCATCAATACCTGGTAGCATGATTACAAAGCCCAGAAGGCAGAAACCTGGGGCCGGAGACGTACGATCTATTTGTGGGACGTCATCACGAGCGGCAGTAACAGTCCGGAAAAAAAACAAAATATCAGCTCATTGAAATCTGCATCTCAGAATCTAAAAGATGAAACCGCTGGTTAGTAGTGGAAAGAGTGATGGCTAAAGTATTGTACTTCAGAACCAAACGGAATGTTTGATTTCACTTGAAAATTCAAAAGAGAGTTAATATATATGTACGAGCACTATGAGTGTTAATATTATAATATAATACATATGCATAAAGGTCGTCTAGAAAATAAACAAAGCCCCCCTACCATCTCACACTAATCTTCTTATAGAAAATAATTGGCGTAGGGAAATAGACAAATTTATTTTGGTAAGAATAGTAAACCCAAGGTGAAATAATATTTATAAACTATGTGCTATAAATAGTAAAAGCATTTTGGAAGAACAAACAAGTTACTGATAAATCAGTTTACAGAAGACAGAGAGCGGAAAGTGACTAATCAAGAAATAATGATGATAATAACACAAAGAAACCTATAATGTTTTATCTATACAGCATAGTAAATTTATATAGAAACTAACGTTTAATAAGTTGAATATTCTTACGAGATGTGTTCATTCGACCAAATGGTCCAGGTTCATGATGATATAAATGTACTTGTTGATTTAAACAATCACTTATTGCTTTTCTACAATGAGATTTTTAAATGAAAAAAACAAACAAACAATTAAATACATAATTGAGAACGGAACACTGAGTAAATTTTGTGATAGAAAAACTATCGAACTATCCCAAAATGAAATACGTACGAAAAACTTGAAACCTGAAGGTCACCAAATAAAAATCAAACGTATAACTTCCTAGTCACAACTATGATGAATGGAACAAGAATAGATTAATGGGTTGAATGGATTTATATCCAATGTAATGTAACATAAAGAATTTAAAGTGGCTTATAAATGAAACTAAAGGACAAAATTTTAAAGTAACATAACTGGCCGGAATACACTGATACAGAGAAACAAGGAATTTTTTCGAAAGACATCTATACAAAACTGCATTGGAACTAGATTCACAGAAATTTTTCTGTGAGTTTCAACTACATAATTAAACCGATTTCTTCTTCTTTAATTCAAAACTCCCTCTTTCTCTCTGTTAGTTTGAATATGTCACTACTGGTCTTTTTGTTTAAACAGCAATTTTCGATCTGTCATTTTTCAAATGAACTGCTTTAAAACCATCATTGTTGAGTTTATCATTGTGAATCTGAGTTTACCTAAAGCTAAACATTATTTATTGTTGAGCCATTTGTCATTCATATTTTTTCACACACAAATATTTACGAGAAGCCTTTTGACTTTAACCGATGTTGAGTCCGTTATCCTGGTGAATTAACATGTATTCGACTTGATTGATGATAATTCCCGTCTTATATAGCAAAATTAATTACTTTAACATATTAAAATGAGCTAAAACTGTTATTGAAATCAAACTTCCCTATTTAGATACGTGATACCTACAATTAAGACCGATATTTCTTCCAGAAGTATTGGATAGATTTATCATCCTATTGGATCAAGCATTACTGTATGGTCATTAGTTTAATCACAATAAAATATATTTTATAAGTTACCTGAAATCATTTGTCCAAAGAGAATTTTTCACATAAGCACCAACATGACCAGATTGTGGCAAATAACGAATTTCACCATTAGGATATACTTTTTTCAGTGAACAAACACTACCTCTTGGAACATATGCATCATATTCAGCTGCAACAGATAGAACAAGTCGAGAATCTATTACTGGAGAAAAATTTCCTAAATGAGTAAAATAGTCTAGAAGATCACGTAGAAACTGTCGAACTTCCGGATCTGGTGATAAATCTGTACGCGGAAAACTAACACTTGGTAAAGAAACACGTGGAAGTAATGAAATTTCTTTATGCCATCGATAACTATTCCACTGATAACGAAAAACTGTATTGAAATTAAATGTAGACAAAGAATTCGGAAGACCGGTGTATCTGAAATGTGAAAGTAGTAACTGAACATTTTAGCTAATTAAAATTCCACAATGTGGACAAATAGTAAAAGTGCATGTAAAACATTATGGAGATACATTAGATGACGAGCGATTGGTTGTTTAATAAACTCCAGAACCTTTTACACAAAAATAAACTTAAATTTCCACAAATCTTAATAAAGGAAAGAGACCTGATAAACCAAGTATCATAACAAAGTAACTTCCAGAGAAGACAGAGAACGAAAAGCCATGGCGAATTCATTGAATACCAATGTTGATTTATAGTTTGCAAGTGAACATCATTAACAACGTCAAGAATATATCTTACAAAAGCCACCATTTATATTGGCATTGAGATTGCTGTGGTTTTCTTATTTTAATTTAATTTTTGATGTCCTAAGGTGAAATATGGGAACTTGAACTGATACGTACTTTTACTAAAGACTATGTCGTTTATAAGTGATAAACTGACTTACCATCGATAAGTAATCATAATGTCAAATGATTTTATTAGGCAAGCAAATAAGGATTCTAGTCCAACAAGTAACCAAAGTATTGAATATATAAATGAAAATTATCCGAGAATTTTCTCGAAAAAAAGTACATGTATGTTGGCAAAAATAAGCTGGAAATATTATTCACCGGTAGGAAACCTATATTTTCAAAACCACAATTCAACAGGGGTGTGGCTGGTGATGTTCTACATAATAGATTAACAAGAGTAGTTAATAGGACATTCTATACAGACAACCTTGCATTGAAATCTCCTAGTAGATCAGTGATATCTACTCACCCTTATGATTACTACTACTACTACGCCTGTCTTCTTACTATCAATTTGTACTTTTTACCTATTATGCAATCCATTTCACTGTGATCATTGACTCATTAATTGCTTTGATTGGTTAGTATTTTCATATACTCACATAGATATTGATCTTAAATACAGTAAAACCTGATGACGATCTAATCTCAAAAAATACTGTTCGTATATATTGTGTTGTGGGCTACTGACGTCGATAGACATAAGTAGTATGTAGCACAAATCGAAAGTGAAATGCATGGCGGCATAAAATTGAAGAGATTGAAGAGAAGAGAACGAGAACAGAAAGTGATTGGTGTAGAAACGAAGGAACAATCAATTCTGATGCAACTGGTTGACATTTTGCAAATGAAGTATTTACTATATGGTTCTCAGATTTTACTAATAGATTTTGTAGTATTTTATTGAAATACATTTGGTTGTCTCCACTTGTGTTTTCGTTCACTACAATATGAGTTGTTCAAATCAAAATAAACCAAAATCTCACATCAACTTACATAAAGCTGGGAAGAAACTTCTGAGCAATAGTAAATTTGTGTGTATTAGAATGGGATGACGATAACTGGGAGGTTGAATTAGATATATTAATAAACTGAGACAATAGATCACGAACTTGAAAACTTGAGTATGATGATTTTAAAGGATTTCTTTTAATAGGATGTAAACGTGAATCCAATTGTTTTGAGAATGTAGCCAAAGGAGCAACATTTACAGGATTTGAGTGCTTCGAATGTAAAGAGTTTATTGAAATGGTTGAATATTGAAGATTGTCACCTGCAAAAGCATGAAAAGTAATACTTAGAAGACATAGGGAAAGTTTAAAACACATAACTTTACATAACAACAATAAATACTAAAACTTTTATGTTTATTTCAGAGACTACTTATGAATTTAACTATAGATCAAAGGTGAACTACACAGCTTTAAATCTTAAAAGCGTCAATCCAATAGAGTTAAGTGAAACAAACTCTCAAAAAGGAAAAGTACATGAATAAAATATGAATGAAGTCTGAAAACGTCTGTAATTATGATGAAGAAAAGGATCAGTGGTTTTCAACCTTGAACATATGTGAAACTCATCACTTGATAAGATAGTTGTTAATCTTGCCACTAAATTATTACACTGAATACTCGAACCACTCAAAACTTGAAATCAATTATTGTTCTAAATGGGGGTCAAATAATTCTAACGAAGAAAGGACTAAGTTACACGGACTAACTAACAGACGTTAACAAAAATGAAGCTTTCGTATTCACTATTGATTAAATGCTATTGCTTAAATAGTGCAATGTAATCATTCAACTCATTAATCGATACAACCGAATATATGACGTTATTTAGGTCAATATTTCTTTGTGGTAAATTCATTATGAATTTCGGCTAGGGTAACAGGTACGAACTTCACCCAGTAACATGTAAGAGTCAGTATTGCTTGTATCGATTCTGTATGAACTTCAATATGACAAATGAGAATTCTCGTTCCATGTATAAATCCAGGAGAACTATGTTTAATGTATTTTTTTACAGTAACATCATATTCCCACCACCTAAGTGATATAAAATGTGTGTGAAAATTAGTAGGTAAATGATTGCATTTTAGTCTAATGATTACATAATTTTGGACGTGATTTTCAGGACTTGTTTGGGAATATGTTTCTAGGGTGCCAATAAATCTTTGTTAAATCAGTCTTTCATGTCCTAATATTGCATTGTGTGGTATGTAATTATTTCCGTTTACCCCTACAAGTAGTAGGATCGCACAGTTACAGTGGTTTTCGATTGTCAAGCGTAAGACTGTAGGTTCAAGGGAGTCAACAAGTACATAACAGCAACGACACTCTCAAACGTAGAAGAGGCGGTTGTCAGATAAAACAGTAGCGACTGATTAGCATACAACATGAGTACAACCAAATTGAGCTAAAGATTTGAAGAGTATTGTATAACATTAAGAAAATCCGTCAATAGAATGCACATGCTATCGTAAAGGAAGTCATGGTCTATTTGAAATTTGAACCAAGATTGTCTAGATGCAACAGATAACTGTTGGGATATTCAGGAAAATATCCCAAAAATTATTCTATTAAGTCTAATGCTATTCTTAAACTTGGAGATGGTATTATTTTCTTATTGGTCAGTACTTATTTCACGTGTCATCTTCCTACTGGTCAATGTTATTTTCTGTTTTATGGTACGATGTGGTCTGCTTGATTAGTATATAAACAGAGTGTGTTTGAAATATAATGATTCATATCTCCAAGGCTGTGACTTGTGTTCTGGACTCAACTGGCTGGGGCTAGACAGGGAAGCGGGACCAATCAGAACCCTAGGCCGTTCTACGTGTTTGCGCGTCTTTGGTCCGATCAATAATTCGCTGTCCTCTAATCTGCCGTCACAGTTATAGCAATAACATTTAATTAAACAACTGATTAGCTGGTTCTTTAACCACAAAAGTGAATAATTAATTATTAGAATTTCAGAACTGAAAATTTGTTTAGAGTAATAGACGAAATTTAGTGGTAGGCATTAATGACTATGAAGTATATCATTACAGATTCTTAACGAAAATCGCAGCAAGATATTCGGATAAAGCTAATCGATATAATTCATACAATGATACATTTTTTCATTTGTATTTCAATTCTACAGCACTTCTTTTATGATTGTTATTAAGAATGATAATGTGCATTATTACCTTAGAACCGTATAAATAATTCAACGTGTTTAAAAAGATATCATGTTCTAATTTGACGATTTTAAGCATATTTTCATTCACTATAAATTAACTGTCACATATCAAGCTGGTCAATACCCTAAAATCGGTAGATAATAACATTTCAAACAGCTTAGCTAATAGAATTTTACAATTTAAGCGTAATAAACAGAAATTCCGAAATTCATAATCAAATAGTATTTAGGTTTAGGTATAATATACAACTAGATGACAATATTACAAACTGAAAATGAAACAATTTCTTTTTACCCAAATTATCATTAAAAGTTTCATCAGTTGTTTTATAGAATTCTGGAATAGGTGGTTGAATTCGAGGTCGGATTACATCAGAATATACAGAATCAGAATAATATTGTTTTGTTAACACAGGCCAATCTACTGTATTCGATAAAATGCCCTATCAAAATAGAAAAGATAAAGGAAGATATTGAAACATATCAGTAAATGGACAATAGGTGTTATTTCCATTTATGAAGAAGTGAACTCAATAAAAGACATCGTTATCCAATTCGCTGTCAATTCTAATCAATAATAAAATAAATATTTTAGTACCGAATGGCTACAAACAATTGTCTACTATATATATATATATATATATATATATATATATATATATATATTATGGTACCGAACTTTCACGTTCAATGTTTCATTTTCGCTGGCCCACTTATTTCCACTACCTTTTTAAAGTAATGACAAAATACAGTTGACTAACTATTCAGTGGTAAAAAGTGTTATATGCTTCAAGTCTTCCTTAATGCTCGCTGAGTTTTACTGATCAAGTTTCAATGTTCCGACTAATCTAAGTGACTCAATATTGCGTGCAGCATGAGATGTAAATAACACGAAAACTAGGTCCAGGGGTTTCCTGTCAACTTCCATCAATCACCACTTTACAGTGACCAATTACATTGAAGCATTGTGCTTTTTGTTACATTAAAAGATAATAGAAATAAAGTGAATGAAAGTTTTAAAAAATCATACATTACTTAGTTTACCCTTTTTTTCTTGATATAAAAAGTATTTCATGTAATAAACAGTATACAATTATACATAATAGTAGGTTTAAAAACCTTATTATTATAAAGATAAATTGAAGTTGATAATAGTAATTTTATAGTGCAGAATTATGTTGCAAGTGAGACTGTTGTGACACTAAAGATGACAAATAATTCGACATAATATACACTAAACGATTAGGTGTATTGATTAAACGATAAAATATAAGAGATTAGCTGACTATGAAACAACGTACGTATTTCTGAAGCTTTCTGAAATCTTCTTTCAATATAATGATTATTATTATGCTTTCTTGACATGATCAATAGCCTTAAATTGTAACTGGGTTTTACAAAGTATTCTGATTCGCCCTAACTAACATTTGAGGACAAGATGAATACAAAAAATAAATTAGAATAGATGGTTTCTCCAGTAAATAAGGAGCACAGACACTATATTAATTTGAAAAGTTGTATCAATTTTAGTACGTTGGTTATTAGTGAAATATTGTCAATAATTAAGAGAAGTATCTTTGAGATTTATCAACTTACATTAGTTGTACAAAATATCTACAACGATAACTAACACAATAATAGAACTTCTCTTTTTCTTAAACAGATGTTTAGGTGTAGTAAAGGTCGTTAGGAAATCACATATATAAAGAGAATAAGTATCTTTTGCATATTCAATTACGCAATTTTTAAATCATAAGATAAAGATTTGTTGGGGTTAAATGTGATGCAACAGTTAAGAGAGAAGTTTTTTTAATTCATGATGCAGAAATGTGCTAACTAGATGGTTTATAAATCTGCTAAGCATAAAGAAACAATATTTACCCCACATGTATTATTGTAGTAGGTGAGTAAAACAAGTTAAGGGAAAAAAGTGACTGGAAACGACATGTCAAAATTTAAAAGAAAAATCAAAGTTATCGATGCCAACCTATTGACTTGGCGGCTTGCTGGAGCAAAGAATTAAATATTAGACTAAACTAGTCCTGAAAACAAATGTCAAGCATTTTAGCATATTTTCTGCTTGTAAATTGCTAAGTAATGAATCTAACTGACGTTCCATTGTACATTTATACATACCGTTTTAATTAATAATGGATAGCACTGTTTATTTTAGCGCGAGTCTATAAAGAATAAACATAAAGAAAAGTTACTTCTGAATGGAATCAAGAATTCCCCAAAGTATAGTGAAAGCGAATAGAAGTCAATGCTAACAGATAACATAAAATTCATATCATTTTCAAACATCAACTATGCCCTCAAAGAAAGTCAATAGTTTTAAAACATCTTAAAAGCTTCTGTATTATATGAGAAAAAGTCTTTAATCCCACTGTGGTTTGTAGAAACTAAATTTAGATAATTGTGTTGTGACTACTGAGGGAGCTGAAAGTTTATGACTAGCTACGTAGTCCTCTTCTTTTTTCCCTTTTTTACACTTTAAATCTTAATTTTAATGCGAACTGATAACTGCAGCAAATTCCTAGGTTATTAGGACAACAGCCGTGCTTTTTATGTCTTAATAAATTACACTATACAGTTGTAGAAATTAAACCAGGCTGCTTTGAGTTTGAATATATGATCGTGATTTCGACACTTGGACAATTAAGTTCAAACATAAAACAAATTTAGTGAGAAAATTATGGTGGAAAATTTTACACAACGAACCTCTAAAAACACGCATGATGCTGAAGTCCAAGACAAGCAAGGAATTAGGGAAATAGGTTTCGGCCAAACGGTTGCACACAAGGATGACATCTGGTAAATTAAAACATATAAATATACAGGTTTTTAATCTAAGCACCAAACTAAGGTGTACAGAGAAAGCACAACTAAAAGTATATTATTAATCTGTATATCTCATAGATACAATCCTCATTTAAAAAATATTTAGATTGGAAAGCATAAAATCAATTGTCATCATAACAAAAAATGGTAGTTTAGCTTAACAACCCTTATAGACAATTTGTAAATATTATTCACCAAGAGCTAAATTTAGCTGAGGAATATTTCACCTCAAAAACAACAGAAAAATTCAGCAAACTTATGCTTTAGCATGTGACGGTGTAGACTTTAAGTGCCTTTTATGCGAAAACCAGTGACCCTAAGTGGTCGCAAATAGATATGTTAACTAAGCTAATGGGAATTAAGGAGGTGATCTTCACTTCTCAAATTCTGTCACTTGAGCTTTGTTGCATGCAATTTTAAAGAAATTTAAAGTTCATCGGAGTTGCTGAGATTTAGTTTCAGATGGGAAGAGTCTGCTTTTATATTTCTGCAAACATAAAGCAGTGCTTGACCTACATTTCTTTAACCATATTAATTTTAATCAGCTTTAGTTTTAATTCTAGGTAGGGTGGGGAGTAAGGAAAAAAATTAGTAAAACAAATACTATTAATTAATACCAATTTTATGTAGTATTAACAAACAGATACGAAGATTTATTTCACTCTTTGAACTTTTAAGTCACCATTTATCACATTTAAGGAGTATGCCAGTACATTAAGGATGATAAAATGTTTTGGAGCTTTGTAGACACTACTTACTTACTTCCTGGATATTTAGAGATTAGTAAATGAGACTTCTGTAAAACAAATCATCATTTACATGCTATTTACTTCAGGAGGTTTAGTGTTAGACGCATTTAACTTTCAACCATTCAGGCGTAAGTTCGAGACCTCTGTTATTCACTTTGGCTTATGTAGTCATGTAGTTAGTTTTGAAGCAAGATTCAAAACCAACGTGTATTCGTCTATGTTATCAAATCTTACATTACAGCGGGGAAAAGTAAACACTAAAAAAAGCCATAACATTAGTACCGGCCAATAGGAAACAAATTATGCATAAAGAATATAGTCTGAAGAGAACCAAAACTGAGGAATATAATCTATGCGATAACCATAAAATCCAAGATTTACAGGGTGATAAACAATGAATATATCTACACTACTGCAATTTATTTGGAACCATGTTACCGGAAGTCAGTAAGCAGGGATATTAAGCTGCAGTTGATTTTTAGTTATAAATGAATTTACTGTACAGAACTAATACATATATCCAATTATTTTATTCGTAAAGGAAAATTACGACTACGTACCGAAAGCCTATTGCCATTTCGTTCTAGAAATCATTTAAGATTATTTCACTTAGATGTCGTCCCGACCAAATTGCTTGGGTATCCTAGATTAGTAACTCTCATATGTAAAGAAATCAATTACTGAGAAGTCAATATCATTAAAGACTATTCTTAAAAGGGATTATCAATACCGCTATTAACTAAACTAAACTGATAGTTACCAGCTAGATAATATGATATTTTTACATATTGACTGTAATTTTAAACAAGCTATAAGATGAAAAATAGTATAATAAATGGATAAAATGACTGATTTCGAAAGGTCAAAAAGCATCTATTCCAGTCTCGCCTTCGTACTGAATAAATTTAGGGTCATTCACATTGTACCTTTAATTACTTGATCTTGTGAATGTAAATTAGAAGTGTTTATATCAAATGGGACCGAATAAGAATGTGAAACAAAACAATTCTAAATGGAACCACTTTCCTTGGCAGATTAGTAAAAACACTGCTAATAGAATTTGCCGAAAAGATAAAATAATAATAAATACTCCACAAACTATGAAGTCTTTCATTACACAGCTAGGTTGCTTTAACTGATCATATGATTCGTATAGTTAGTAAATAGTTACGTAAATCTCAATAAGACAGAATTGGGCTGTTTCTGGTTTACTTTTGTTATAATTCTCTCTTACGGTTATAACCCAGCTATTCCTGTTGCTTAGTACTCTTGGACACCAATTCACTCGACAGGTCCCCAAATCAGAACACGGTTGAACAGGAAAGAGATTATATTCCAAATAACAAGCTTAGATGAAAGTAAGAAGCACAATAGGAAAAACGTTAGTATATTTATAGTTTTTTACATGAGAAGATACTAGAGTGTACTCCAAGTATCGACTAGCGCTGATTGGATAGGAATCAGCCAATCAGTGTGCGCCAACGCAAGCGTACATTGAGCATGATTTAATCTAATTTATGTCTCGCTAACAACTGAATCTATTTCGAACCCCATATCTAACTACTAGGTGGTGTACTATTGAACTACGAGGAACGTTTTGTACTTGTAGGTATAGTTTTTTGGAAATACGCTTGGTAGAGTCATTAGATGCTTGTCTTCCTGTTTTGATATGTGCACTTGGAAGTGACGTGAAGCGAGTATTTGTCTACCTTTGTGTTATTTAGCATCGAGCTATGTACAGTGGAATCAATTATACTGCGAATTATGTAGTTTTAGAGGCTGACATTTTATTTTTGATTTGGCTATCTATGGGCATCAATTGAATAAAGAAATGTTTCTTTTCTCAATCAGAGGATTTAATAATTTAATTGAATAATAAAACTTCTTGTGAATACTTTCCAACAGTTGACTCCATGGAATGATATATGCCTTCTGACACTCGAAAAAATAATTGGGTTAGTGTGGATAGGTCAAGAAAGAGGGCGACAACTGCTTAAAGTCTGTCACAGACGACCCATTAGTAATAACGGTTTAGTAACACTTGTTCTAAACATTTTTAGTTTGGCTGCTGTAGATAGGGTAAGAAGTGAGCACTATTTTTGGAAGTACATTGTGATACTCTAACCAGTCATTGTAAAAAACCAGTTTTCACTAGCAATAGATAGAGAACTCCAAAAGGGACAGTTAACTACTAGCTCAAATTAATAAAACTTGAATGCTTATATAGGAGTCAGTCAGTCAGTAACAACGTAGAACTTCGTACGTACGTACATCAGTTCGAGTTGCCACACCACCTTAGCACAGAGATGCAGTTGTCGATCCAAATCCCGTAGTGGTAGAGGTAGCAAGAGTATAAGAATATAAGGAACCAAAAAGTCATTTGCCAATTTATTTGAAAATTATTTCAAGGATCCCACTTGAATAAGTCTTTACATTCAAATCTTTGAATAATAAAACAATCAAGAACTCTTTAATGAGATCAAAAACGTCAATTCTTTATAATAATAATCCCGAAAAGTAATTTGAATTCATTACTATATTCTGATTATACTCGATGAATTCCTTGTGATTACGGAATTCATCAGACAGAAGCAAAAACTATAAAAATTCAAAAGTTAGACTAGCTGTATATTGTAATGTATGGGGTACAACATGACAAAGTTTGAACTTTCGTTAGAATGAAAATGGAAATTAGGCCAAACAGTTGGTAGAACAACTTACATAACCACCCATTGAAATTCCGTGAAGTGCAAACGGTCCGTAGCCATTACGCTCACACCATTCTAACAATGCGCTGCATTCCATAATTAAAGCTCCGCCCATGACGAACAGATCAGAAACAAAATTCAGACTAGAACCTCTAGGAGTACAAAAGTAACAGAAAACAACTTATCGATGAAATCCATCATAAATATTGCAAAAGGAACATGCTTGTTTGTAGCACATACAATTTCTGGCCCACTATGACATGAAAATGCACAACACGGGAAATGACAGTGACGAAATGAGAGTAGAGTCATGAAATAAAAAGTTAAACTGCAAAGGTTGGTATTTAATAAGATGGCTACTAATCGGAGCTATATCTGATATCTCACTTGGTTGTTCGACCTGTAATACTCTAACTGAAGAGTCGTCAGCCATGATCAAAATACAGTCTGGCTCAAATGAACAACACTCCAAGTTGTGGCACCAAATCAGGAAAACGAGATGAGATTAAGAAAAGTCAAAATAGTAGCAGTACCAATGATAATTGGGAAAACTAGACATCAGCGTTTGGAAAAGTATGTGGAGGACTATTGAAATTTACAGTTTAAGAAAAGGAGTGAATACATCTGCTACTACGACTGGTTCTAAAACATCACCCAAGGTCTTCAACTGTTGATAGTGGTTGTCGTGAAGACGTTAGTCAGATAATTTGCACCTACCACTACGGATGTCCAATAAACAGTGGTCTCATGAACTAGTGCAATACCCTGCTTTAGATGCTCCTGGTATCCTTCAAACTTTATCCTATCCAACCACGATAGCGTGTCAAGGTAGGTGGTGGCGGAGGATACATAAAAAAATGTACCAACCACGTAAATCGACAAAGATTCACAGCCACTCTAACCGCTTTTATACGTTTTTCTAGTGTTTTGTCTGACGACAGAATTAGTTATTTGGTGGTCCCACTGTAAGCAAGAAATTCTTTAAAGTTATTTGTGATTAAGTAATCGCAGTCCATGTATCTAATTACATAGGCCACGCTTTACACTGGCAAAATACTCACATTCTGATAGAGATACTAACAACCTCCATATCCCCCAGGTTATGTAGGCTGAAAAAGACCGAGCGAAACTCCCCAGACTGCATGGAAGTTCCATTAGATAGCAACAAACTAGGGTTAGTGAAGCTTCTGAGATAAAAAAGTGGTTGGAGCACTAATTCACTCAGCGATTAGTGACGCATTGACAAATTCCAGTTCTATACACTTATCGTTCATACCACGACACCATGTCATAAACCACCATCTCCGTTCTTTTCACGAAGTCCTCGTATCGGAAAATAATGCATGATGTGAAAGTACCTAAGATGAAATTCATAAGTCATATCCAGGCTATCGAAGCCATTGTTGTAGTAAGTGATCACCAACTGAATTATCATCATTGATTCTAAACACAGAGTTGAACCTCGACGTTACTAATAGGTTTTAGAGGTCGGATGAATGATATTTTTGAGACAAATGTGTGAGGGAGGAGAGTCGCTGAACACCCTCAGTTCAGACTGGACAAGTTTCACTAACTCATGGCAAACTGTAATGTTTGCAGCCAGACTAAAATCACAACACCTCCCAAGATAACACAAAGGACCTCAGGTAGTGTATCAGTAATGACGGAAGTTTTCTCCATGTGACCTACCACCATCGAGTTCGAAAGGGTCATCCAAACGATTTACCTTTCTACCTAGATGACTGGCCAGGTAGTTTAAGATTTCAGCTAAAACTACAATACGTATCCACAGCGCCCTATCACAAGATTATTTAATTATTGGTAAAACCCATTCCTTGCATCCGGATTGCAATCAGTTATTGCGTTGGCGGGACTTAGGTGGACATTATTTTTAAACAATATTCTGTCGCCTTAATGAGACTGTCTAGCCTAACAACGCATAGCTAGCAACTAATGGGGATAAGATTGACAGGTGCTGTCTCTACTCTGGCATTTACTACGACCTTAATCCACCGAGACAGGATGTCTCTGCTACAGGATTTCTAAGTGAGTATGCGCAAAATAAGCACCTCGAATCCACAGTTAATGATCGGACCTCAAGAATTCACATGGTTCTGGGAAAGGCGTCTCATACTTGACAAATCCTCTCATTACAAAAAGCGATTGGCCTTCTGCGAAAAATAGTAATACTCTGGTAGATGCAATTTTCATAAATCTAAATAAAGCCTTTGAGAAGTTTTTGGATCCATTTTGAAACCGCAAACTAGGTAAGACTTTCTCAATGATAGGAGACAACAAGTACGAGTAAATGAGGCCCAATCAAGGTGGGATCTGTAAACTCTAGAGTTATTCAAGACAATCCTTGGACCTCTTCATTTTTACTTTATGTAAATAACTTACCAGTTATCACAAAGTCAGCTATTCTACACAGCATGTCAGATAGAATATCACCGAATGACCGTAATTCACTGGGTGAATAGATCTACAGGTGGTCACTACGAGTTAACTCTAACAACAGTGTAGTGATGCAGATAAATAACTGCAACAACTCACGTCACCAGACATTAAGTGAAATTGTGTTACCAAGCGCGATAGGCTATAAAAATCCAGAGGCCATAATGAGCACCGACCCTGAAACTACGAGTAACTGTATGGCTTCAGCATCTTATGATCTACTCGTAATTCATTTTGTTACTTCGGTGCAGAAATGTTAAGATCATTTTATTCGACTTTCGTGAGGACGCATTTAAAATACGGGATTGAAACAACGAGCCCTTATTTCGATTAGGAAGGGGAGATTGTAGGACGAGTTTAACCGCGAGATGCCAGAATAATCAGACGTCCATCTAGCCTATCTTATGAAGACTAAGACAGACAGACTGAGATGCTTCATTCTGCATCCGTTATTTTACCGCATGTTACGGAGTGATTTAATGCTAGCTTACCGCATACCGAACGATAATCTTGGTATTAATGTCTTATTTATTCCTTCCGTCTACGACTAATCGTCTGAGGACACCTTAAGAAATTCAAAAACTGATATCAAATCGTTCACTTTTGGAGATCCCTTTCTCTTACCAATTAGTGAATCACTGGGATCCTCTACCACGAAAAATAATATCGGTGAGACTATAATTTAATGGACGAACCAACCAGAGATGAGATAACAGGTCTTGGGTTTTGGCGCGAAATTCACTCATACATTTGGTTAAATATTGTTTGGGCATTACAGCTGATATCAGTTCGTGATGAAAATCCTAAGTCCAATTCTTAACCCTAACGATCAGCTGTAAATCATAATTCTAAATCCTCACACTTGTTAATAACCATCATTTGGTCCTAGTTATTAGGTGAATACTCAGCACTTATTGAGACATTTGAAGTGACACTAGATTTACAGAATATTACAGACTGCAAGGATTAATACAGGTTGACTAACTCCCTATCCCTACCATTAGTGAACTATACAACGTAAAACCTAATACAAACATGAGAGCAAAACAAAGTAGAGTCAAATCAAGATAGTACGAATGGGAAAAACACATTTCCGATATTTTGTCAGCATTAGCTTGGCTTATTTCATGTAACGAACTTTGAATTGACAATACATAAGTTTAGAAACCACAATCAGGAGATATCAATAGACTAACTGTTGATCGTCGGGTTTGCGCTTAGAGTAAAACGGATTCATCAAGATGATGGACGCTATTCCGTCTTTTATTAAATTATTGGCGAGAAAAATTCTCCTCCTATAATAGTTCTAGAAATATAACGCTACTATATAATGGGAATTACATGATCACCGGTTCCAGAAAAGTGTACACAAACTGCGCGATAATTTGTGGGCCACTTCTTAGGAATGATCATTTGAAACCTGAAAACCTGTAATGGGAATTCTGGTTTTACCTTGCGATCCTGTTATCACCTTTTAATGCATTAGATATAACTGAATCGAATGGAGACATGAATGACCCTTCGATCTGTATAGTGCGGTTGTTCTCAGTTTTCTAAGAATTATGAAAAACTTGCGACCGTACTTTTTCAATATGAACGTCTGCGCTGATCTTCACTGAACAATATTTATTTCGATTAGTCACAACTTTCATATTTTCTATCAACCTATTTCACGATTATATATGTATACGAATATCCACCTTATCAAGGTATCAGGAGCACCCCATCCTTCACTGAAAAACTTTATTGGCACTACACTACGATATATTTTGTCAAATGTACTCATTTTTCCTCAAGTAACCTTGACTACATATTAGTCGTACGTTTGGCCACTAGTGACCCTGAAGACAACCTTCGATTCAATATTCAAACAGTTAATTTTGTTTGACAGAATTAGAGAACAATTTATAAATAAGTATTTGTCTCCAAGTAGTAGATGAGCTTTGTTAATCACTAGTAGGCAGGTTTTCGCCACCCTCATTAAAAAGTTCAAGGTGAAACAAGCCAGTTAATTCTATTGGAAGCGATCGAGGGCTAGCACTTGAAGAAGGCACTCTCAGTACTTACAAAACAGAGAAGGACATCAAATCTTCCTTGAAAAGATTCTGGAGGAGGTCTCTTGACTACCGGTAATGACATTGAGTCCTGTAGTTGGGTGATTCTAACTATGAAACTTTTGATCCAATTTTTGTGCTGAGTCGTCTGTGTTCCATCTTATAATGATGTCCTTTTAGGTACACTTTAATATTTACTAGAGTTGCAGATCTTTTGTGGTGGCGATTATCATGAGGGAGATTAGATAACATTAAGTGATTACTTCGAGTTCTTTCGTACTGAAAGCTTAACGATTAATTTGATGGTTGGCAGGGTTTAAATTTAGCCCGACTACGTCTTTGGTTGTCCTTTTTTGACACGTCTTAAAAGAGTAAAATATTTTCAAGGGTAAAGGCCATAATGTGAGTGATTTCAGAAAGATGATGTCATGGGCAATATTGAAAACAGTTTTAAATAGTTCCCGAACAAATATGTCCAATGTTCAGGCTGTATGCCCTAAAGCAGCATACTTTGTTGGTCGAAGAATGCTAAAAGGAAGAGAGCACCAGACACTTACATTGAATGATGCCTGGGATCTTATGTTCAGAAATTGTAATGATTATGCTTCCAAAAAAGTAAGAATCCGTATGATGATAATTAGTAGTTGAAGTGGCATGTCGACTAAGATTTCCAGTCAAATTGAAGACAAATAGATCTCGATGAGAACCACTGGGTCCTGGCAACGTATTTGTAGTCGTATTGGATCTCAACCACACGGTCTTCGAAGGTTAACATTTAATCACTGGGAAGATTAACTCTCAACATTTAACACTAAGAGAAGTTCAGCAATTATAAACGCGGGAACATTCATTTCATGGCAAGCCTTGAGGGCGTAGTCATTATTGTGTAGCCCCATATCTTTCTACAGTGAATACATTATTGTATAACTATCCAAAACACGTTCTTCCTGAGCTCTTAAAATCATATTGCTGAGTGCCACGACACGACGATTAAGAATGGACATTTGTAGTGGCTGTGCTTCGATAACTAATCACCCCCGAACCGTTATCGTACAGTCTTCAACTGTGTTTGAGATCAGAAGGCAAAAAGAAGCAGTTACTACAGTTTTATTTAGCAGATAATTCGGACCAGACAGCAGAGAGGCAAAATGAATGAGCAAGTGAACTACGATTGTAGCAGTAGCAGTAGTAGTGAATGGGTGCAAATGTACATATATATATATATATATAGATGAGTCAGCGAATAGATTAAGCAGTTAATAGTGAAGCTAGCAGAATGAATATATGAGTAGGCACTAAACAATGTTCAAGCATATGTATTTCATACAAGCACAATAATAATAACAGTACAACAAGTTATAGCATGGATGACTTTGTCCATTAAATAGGTCAAAAAAGACCTCGACTGAACTAAACTCAATTGCACGTGAGTCGCTATACATTGACTGGACTTCCACGTTAAATCCTATTGATTGGATAGTTATTTAGTGTGGCGTCGAGTAACGGTTGATTATGATCACCACTACAGGAAGACTACGTCCCAGTTAACCGATAAGATCCCTCGTAGGCCAAATATCAGAAGGCAGTTGATGACTGCAGTCGAGATGTATTTGTTGGCGATCTCGTGGTATCGAAAGAATACCGAGATCGTGCCAGGTTACAAGTGCGGTTACTGAGTGTAACCGAATTCGTGCAAGGTCACAATCCACGGAGGAATGTGTCTTGGTACAGTTAAACAAACACGTACGGCAAAACAACCCCTGGTACAGTTGGTTATAATAATAATTGTTTCAATTATACTAATCACGTTCTCTTGATAAAAGTAGGTCACTACAGTTACATCACGACAAATCTATAATTTCGGCATTAGGTCTATCTTTGTAATAGTACACATAACAAAGTAGACCACAATTTTACGTATTTGGTTGACGTGACTGGCATGCATACGGACGACAGATTAACCAATACTGCTGGATTGTCGACGATCGGTTCCTCGATAGCAAGTAACATCAGCAGGCTGTAAACATTCCGTTATCGGATCGATAGTCTGTTGCTTAAACAACTTCATTAATGTTTCTTTGTTCGTACAGTCTAGCGATTCTACAGTGAAAGATTTTATCAACTTCTTTTCAGGTCTTTAAATTTCGCAGTAGCAATGGATTTGATTACCGTTTTCAAGGCCTTAACACCTACTTGATCATCATAATAAGAGAGCTCTGTAGTTGTGCACATATCTTTCCATCTCCAGTCTGTGATCAACAACATACTAAACATTGTATTGAAACCATCCCCAACAGTCAATAAAAAAGTTTGTCCTTGGAGCATTTTTAAATTTTCCAGCACTAGGATAAATGGTCCATAATCAGTGATGAGGAAGTCGAAATCTATAAATCAAGCCTTACCATCTCTGATCGGTAAATTACAACACCCGTGTATATGAATTTTATGGTTAACGATATTCGAAATAAAAATTTCGGTAGGTTTCATCATGGAATTTAACGACTTCAACCTTTCAACTAATGTGAAAGATTTGGTATTATCAATGTCGACAATAATGTTATGGAAGACATCACTGGAAAAGTATAATCGCTTTCGAATACGAAGTGAACGACTCGAAGCGGTCAATAAGAATAGTATGCGATTAGTAGAAACAACCAAATTAATAGAACTCGAATTACAGGGTCTAAGATCACTAATAGTAATAATATTTCTGCAAGGGCAGGAACACGCCATTTTTACAGGCATGATCTACAAACTACAAAATTTATTGTTTCACAGTATATAAGTTAAATAAAGAGTCTATAAAAGTAAATATCAGTTCATTCCTCCAGATATACTGAGTAGTCTTCAAAATATTCTCCAAAGTGGCATCATGTCCACGTTACACACCAGACACAATCTCAGCATAATTATGATAGAATTTTGGCAGTTGAAAGTACTTATGCAATGCAAATTTTTAAGTTTATAGTTGTTATAAAGTATGCTTGTAGAACGCTTGGTGTAAACCATTACCTTGGGAAGACACTGAAGATGCCACAGGTATTTGGATTTTGATAACGCTTTAACCAGTAACACCTCACATGAATCGTACTCACCAAGTGAAATCAAAAGACAGAAGCTAGGAGGTTGGAATATATATTTGATAGACTAACAATATATCGTGAATCGACTGATCTAATCTGGCTGGCGATTGCAGGGGATTTTCCCCCACCTAAAGCATACAGCCTGACAAAATACATATGAATTGAGTTAATGAAGCTTACTACATGTAAAACATCTAGTGAATTTGTGATGGCCATTTATTACTCCTTTGTAACTCCTTGATGAGTTATTTTCTGTTTTTAACGAGCATCTGAATTACACACAATTAAAGGTTTATCCATGTGACCTTGCTCAGGAGTCGAATAAGGTCAGCTAAGCAATGAAGTAAGATTATTCATATCCTGCAAGTTAGTTTGACGAACTGTTCATGATCCGTAACTTCAGTTTTAGTATTCAATAAAACGTTTTGACATTTGTAAAGGCTGTTTGTAGATTTGGCATATTAATCCCTGTAATTGATTGATCACTCAGCATCTGTACATGAAGTCGATCACCAAAATCTCATTTGGTGGCTTGTTTCTGCGATTCGGGAATGAACTCTTCGACCTTATGTTTATTTCGGCGAATCGTTTCATGAAATTTCGCTCTTTCACGCCTTTGGAATCTTGTACACATTACAAGGCCTAAGAGTAATTTTTTGGGAGCTTAATAGGAAGGTCGAATAGACTTATATGGAAACACCAAGAATTTTAGAATGCTATGGGCATCCTTTCCTTTAAAAGTAAGGAAGAGAGGTACCATATTGTCACTTCATGTAGTCTTCAAAAGCTACAGCGTTTGAATGTATATTTATTTGTCTAATTACAAGCTTCATAATGACGCCAATATGAATATTACAAGTACCCGAACTGAGGTATTCCCAAAGAATACATAGAATAGCCCAACTTAGGATCGATAGAAATCGATGAAAAATACTAAACGTATGACAATGAAAAAAGCAAGTGACTTTAAAACCTTGAACTCCCGTATCACAACTGACATTGAGTGTTCATAGTGCTTGGAGTCAGCTGGACGCGTTATGCTAGCATGATTATAAAGTCTTTGTATATAGATGTAGTCTTTTGATGTCTGAAAACCACCAAAGTCGTTGCAAATACCATCAACTACTTTTTCAATACATCGTTCTATTCAAAGTTAATCAGAAGATGACTGACAGTCAGATCATTTGGAACTGCTGTCGTCTTTTATTTATATTAATAGTAGTTTCTGAAATGTATTTGATAAAGTTGCTCATCAATAATTAATTGTTTGTCCTATTTCTGCCAGTGTACTCTTATTTGTTGTGCTTCATGCTCGAGAAATACATTGGTCTATCTGACTGCGTTTAGGTGTTTCATTCTGAGCAGACGATTTATGATTTGGATGGAGTTCGGAACAGCATTCAATAAATTTCAGCACTTATGGGTTTTAAACTACGCATACACAATATATACATATATAAAGGTGCTCGTTAAGTGACACTAGATTCAAGCATGAGTTTGTTGTTTTCTAGTGTATGTTCAACCGAATACGTAAATCAAAAGGTCTAGGAATAATTGACGGACCGTAAGGACTGTAAATGTGAAGTGATATTTTAGGCATAAGTTTATGAATCGCCAGCCAACACCCCTCGTGATTCTATAAGATGAGTGCGTGGTAAAATCATGCCGAATAATTCATAAAAGTCTAAAGATGATTTATGGTTAGTGGACGGGGC